GGGTGGGTGGTAAACTACAAAAGGTTTCCCATGAAAACAGCTTACAGGTCCCAGTCCTTCCTTCAAATGTAGAGTTGGCGAAATTTCTGATTTCAAGTAACTTGATAATACCCCCAAATCCTTCTCATTGTTTTGTTTTGTTCCCATTCTTTTAAACAGAAGATAGGAAACATTGTGGTGGGAGTTTTATAGAGGCAGCAATGGAAGGGAAGAGTTCCAGTAGAAGAAATGTCAGGGAATGCCAGTCTGGCCTTTCCTTGAACTTGGGACCATCTGTGGCCGTAGTGGAGTCCAGGGCAGGAATTTGGGTTTACCCAGCTTTGGAAAGTATCGCCTGATTACATTAGTACTGTGGTGACCTTGTTTGTACTTCTGATTGCATGACTGGTCTCGCTATCCTAATCACAGCTTGGGCTGAACAGCTGATTGTTTCACTGGTCACAAGAGTTAAATTCTCTGGGACTGATTCAAGGTTCCCTGCTAGCAACATGTGTACCCACATTCATGCAGCTAAGGTTTTGAAGCTGCTGCTTCTAGAATACAGCATTATCATAGGGTAAAGAAGGACCTTGAGCTCTAGACTTAAGACAGCTTGAGTTTGGATCGTAGCTCCATTTATAACTATTCACCCTTGCCAGGTAGCTCAGTTGGTTCAAGCCTTGTCCCAATACACCAAGGTTTCAGGTTTGATCCCCAGTCAGGGCACATACAATAATCAACCAATGAATGTATAAATATGTGGAACAAAAACAATTTCTGCCATTATCTCTTGACATTTGCTATGAAGATTAAATAAAGGATGTAAAGTGCTTAGATCAGCACTTGCCACATAGTACAAATACATTGGCTGTTTTTGTCTCTAGTTAGAAACACCTGGCACTCTCCCTTCTAAGAATTTAGATTCACATAGAGAAAGTGAGGAAACTAAAAGTGTTAATAGCCTCAAAGCAAGTAGAGTGCTGTAACAAAGGGGAACTGGGTAGACGGATATACTGTCCTAGGAAAGGTCTCAGAAGATGGCATGTGTGAAACCTGAAACAGAAGGAACTAGTCAGGTGGTGAGATGGTGAGAGTTCCAGCAGAAGGAACTGCGCAGTCAGACATGGAGAGGAGTTTGCGTCCAAGTGCAGAGGAGTCACCTAGGGCAGGGAAGCGTGTTAAGCAAGGGCCTGATGTGATCTGATTTGTGACCTAATATTTTCTCTGGCTGATTTTTTCTGGAGGGCTGGCAAGAAAGTTAGGAAACCAAGTACAGTGGTGTCATCCAATTGAGAGGCAAGGGACTTAGACCAGGAGTGGTGGTGGGATGTAAAAAGACTTGACTGTCACTGCTTCACTAATCAACCCACTTTAAACAGACTTGAAGGCCATCAAATCTATCTAGATCTTGGTAGGGAAATATATGATTCATACTGAAGTACAAGGTATTTTGAAGGCAGAACAGACTGTGAGATTGTATGTGAGGTGAGGGACCAAAGAACCAGAACTTACCTTCAGGGTGCCATGGGTCAAACTCACAACGCTGTGGGTCATCGCCCCCACTCTACCACAAACTAAGCTCCATTATGATAGGACCCCACCTCTGCTCAATGTGTTTCTGGCACCTAGTGTGGAATCCGCGCTTTAAAGTTGCATGAACGATAGGTTTGGAGGAGGAAAGCAAACAGGAGCTCAGATATGGTTAAATGTTGCTTTGCTTTGAAGAGGGAAAATGCCCCAGCACACCCAGTCTAGGCTAGGTACCCCACCTTGGCTTTTCCACTCCCCTTTGTGTCCCCTAGTATAATGGCTGCCCCTACAGCGCAGGGACGCATCTCATCTCTCATGGGCCTGGCACAATTAATGACCCGGAGTAGGTGCTTGGCAAAGATCGATTTCCGCCTCTGCGCTTTGCAGTGTTAAGGCAACCCACCAGGTAGCGAGCCGGTGCCGGCGAAGGCGGCCTTCCTACCTCAGCGCGCGGGGCGGGGTTCTCCCGCTCCCTACCGGCTCCCGCGCCCGCCCAACCGCCACTTGAGAAGGGCGGGGTTTGGATTCCGAGTGTGGGCGGAAGTTGCCGAGAGTCTTCGGGGAGCTTTGGACGCTCCGTAGGCCTCGTAAAGAAGCGGAAGTAGCCGAGAAGCGCCGGAGGTTGCCGAGCTGCAGTTCCGGGGCGCGCCGCGCCAGTTGCCATGGAGCCGGCCGGGCCCTGCGCTTTCTGCCCGGCCGCGGAGACCCAGCCAGCGCGCTATACCTGCCCCCGCTGTAATGTGCCCTACTGCTCGCTGCGCTGCTACCGGGCGCATGGCGCCTGTGCCGAAGGCTTCTACCGTGACCAGGTGCTGGGAGAGCTCCGCGGCCGCAGCGCCTCTCCCAGCCGCCTAGCCAGCGCCCTCCGCCGGCTGCGGCAGCAACGCGAGACCGAGGACGAGCCGGAGGACGCAGGCCTCAGACCTGGCCCGGCGCCCGGCGGCCTCTTAGGACTCTGGGAGCGGCTCTCCCCCGCTGAGAAGGCCGCCTTCGAGCGGCTGCTGAACCGCGGCGAGGCCGGGCGGCTGCTGCCCCCGTGGCGACCATGGTGGTGGGGTGACGGGACCGGGCCACGGCCGCGACTTCTGGAGGAGCTGGATGATACCCCGCGCGGTGAGGCCGCGGAGCTGAAGCCCGCCCCTGCGAAGGCGCCGCCGGAACCTGTGAAGGATGCCGCTGCTGCCGAGTCCCCGGCCGCCGAGGAGCCGGTTCTCGGAGACTCCCCCGGGGCCTGCACGCCCGCCGTGCCCACCCGGATCCCCACGCTGGCCAGCCTGAGCCGCGGCCGGGCCTCGCCGCTCGTACGCTTCCAGCTGCCCAACGTGCTGTTCGCTTATGCACACACCCTTGTCCTGTATCACGGCGGCGACGACGCGCTGCTCTCCGACTTCTGTGCCACACTGCTCGGCGTTTCGGGAGCCCTGGGTGCCCAGCAAGTCTTTGCCTCTGCCGAAGAAGCCCTGCAGGCCGCAGCTCACGTGCTTGAAGCCGGCGAGCATCCACCCGGGCCCCTGGGCACACGGGGTGCCATGCGCGAGGCCGCCCGCATCCTGCTGGGTGAGGGCCCTGCCAACCAGAAGGGCTACACGCTGGCAGCACTGGGGCACTTAGTGCAGACCCTGGGCCGGGCCCGGAAACGGGCAGAGGCTACTGAAGAGCGAGGTCGTCTCTACCGGGCCCGGAAGAAGTGCCAGTTTCTGCTGGCTTGGACCAACGAAAATGAGGTGGCCCTCCCAGGCCTGGCTCTGGACTGTGCCAGGGCCCACCGAGCTCACACTTTAGCAGCCGAGGAGGTGGCAGCCCTCACTGGGGAGCTGGAGCGGCTTTGGGGAGGTCCCCTACCACCTGCCCCGAGGACTCTCATTGAGGAACTCCCTGGCTGAACTGTGGTCTCAGTGTCATCAATAAAGCTGTACATGGTCTGACCTGTTGTCAGTGCCCATTTCTGAGAGAGCTGTTGTTCCCACCCACCCCAGACTCTTGGGCCCATAAATCTCTCAGCTTCTCCCTGATCAGGGATGACCCAGCCAATTTTTAAATACCCCTGACCCAGAAAGGAAGAGAAGCAGCACCAAGGGTTCCAGATGTTTATCCAAGAAGTAGGAGCAACCCCTCCTCTCCCTTTTTTGGGTACTGGCTTCATTTTCTCCTTGCTCCAGACCACCTCTCTGAAGCTGTTCATCCCTGCCTTTTGGAGCTCAGGGCAGGACTGAGTGCAGGCTTTTGAGTTAAGTGTGCCCCAGCTCCTGCTGGTGGGTGTGCTGGCAGATGGATGGGCACTGGCCAGGACCTAGGATCGGTGGAGCCACTTCAGTAGATGTAGGGCACAATTCGGTAGGGCACACGCCGGCAGTATTCATGCCAGGCCAAGCCATACTTCTGCAGGCACTGCTGCTCGTCCCGGGCCTCACGGTGCACCAGCAGCGCAGTGAAGTAGAGGAGGTAGAAGTAGGGCAGCAGGTGGGACACCCCTGTGGGGAAGGGGGCTCTGTGACCACACAGCCAGACCCCCAGTTCACAAAGGTTTCCACACCTAATTGCTCATGGGGGCTCAGTGGCGAAAGATCCAGGGTCTGCAGCAAGGTGCCAACAGTGCTAGGCTGGCACAGAGGTCTGCCCCAGTCACACCGTGAGTCCATCTCCAGCTCCCTTACTGTTCCCTCCACTGAGGTGCACTGCTGTTCTCCATTCTACACCCAGACTGGGTATCCTGTGGTTACCATCCCATCTCTGCCCCTCACACACATGCAGCCCCACCCTGTACCAATCCAAGCCACTCACCACAGGGCAAGGACCAGGCCAGAGCCATAATGAGGTCTCCAAGGTAGTTGGGGTGGCGGACCATACCCCACCACCCAGACACTAGCAGCTGCCTCCCTGTGGCTGTAGAGATGGTCTCAAGGCCTGGGGAAAGACAGGTAGTGGGATGGGTGACCCCCAGCTACCCCACCTCACTCATGGCACCCTGGAAACCCAGCTCACCGGCCACTCTGGGATCAGACGGATTCTTTCGGAAGGTGTTTTTCTGGGAATTGGCTCCACGGAAGATGTAGTAACCAACAGCTGGGATAAAGCATGGGCAGGCAGTCAGGGCTGAGGGCCACATCTTCTGCCTGACCCTGATCATCCCCACATAGCCCAAACCCAGTCCGCCTGGACCCCAGGAGCCAGGCCCCAGCTTTAGAGAGGGCCTGAGGCTTAGCAGCTACCTAGTGGGTGCCGGGTAAACAAATGAAAGGGGAGGGAGGATGCACCAAGCCTGCTGCCCTCCTGACTGACCATTGAGGAGGCAAATGGCCGAGGCTGTGGGTAACGCCAAGGGCTGTGGGTGGTGCAGCAGGAACTGGGCCTGCAGGCTGTAGGTGAAGGGTACCCAGGCTAGGTCCCCAAAGGCCAGCATGAAGCCAAACCCGTCGTGTGTGATATCCATGGTGGTGAGGACAGCTTCCTGCATGGAGAGGACCCAGACATGCTGGTTTAGTCCCTACAAGGTCCTCGGGCAACTTCCCCTGCCTCCCCTGCCCAGTCCAACCTCACCTCGTGCCAGAGGGCATCACCCACATAGAGTAACTGGAAGCCATTGACCAGCCACATGGCCAGGGAGGGACTCTCCCGAAATTCTGCTTCCTGCACCAGCAAGGCCAGGTTGATGAGGACCTGGGGGTTGGGGAGAGACAGGGCAGTCTGTCCCTAGCCCATCTCCACCTGGGAGGGCAGTGGCCAGCCTCTCCCTGTCTCTCTCAACTGTCAGTCACTAACTCTCCAGCTCTTTGTCACATGGATTCAGCCTCTGTACCCAGGGGCAGAGCGCCTGCAATGGACCACCTCAGAGGCGTCCCCAGCCTGTTTTCTCTTGCCTTGTCCTATAGTGTTCCCTTTGGGAGGGCAGCATAGGGAGTAAACAGATGTTTCAGGCTTGAGAGTTAAAACAGACTTGGTTCTGAATTAGCTTCCCCACTGGGGCAAGTTGCTTACCCTCTCTAAAGCCCACCTTCCCCAGCCCCATGTGGGAAATGGAGATAATTACGGACCTGCCTCATGGAGCTGCCTGAGGACTCATCGACACACATGATGAGTGTAAAGAATTAAGCAGTGTGTCTCAATAACGGTGGCTGGCAGCCAGCCTGTACTTAGCACTCCCATCTGGTAGCAGTAGGCTAGGCGCTGTCATTAGGTTACCACTTCTAATCCTCACAATAATCTTAGGAGGAAGCTCTTACTTTACCCCATTTCACACATTAGGACATAGCCTTGGAGGCTCGGATCCAGATCTGGGGCACTCGGCATTCCTCCTGCCTCCAGATGAGGGTTTCTGGAGTGGCACAAGGGACCTTTGGGAAATGCTGACCACAGTCCAGGACTGATTATAACCAAGAAACACAGTTGGCATATCAGTCAAGGACACTAGCGATGGACAGGTTGCTAAACCCAGTGGTCAGTTCTAAGATCTGCACTGCTTTGACTAGCAAGTAACATAGTATCCCTCTCTTCTCCTGAAATAGATATGCATTTGACTGCTGTATTTAAAATTGCACCTCGCCATGGCTGGGTGCTCAGTTGGTTGAAACGTCATTTAGTGTACCGAAAGGTTGTGGGTTTGATCCCCCCTTTGGGGAGCAAATGGGAGGCAACCAATCAATGTCTCTCACATCAATGTTTCTCTCCCTTCTTCTCTCTCTAAAAGTCAATAGAAACATATCCTCGAGGGAGGATTTAAAAAAAATTGCACCTCTCCTCCTTCCCTGCCTTGCTTTTCTCCACAGCACTCAGCGTCCTGACATACTATATATATTTTTTGTCTGTCTTTCGCACTAGAATGTAGGCTCCATGAGGACAGATTTCTTTTTCTTTTCTGTAATTTTTAACTCTTGTATCCCAATACCTAGAGCAGTGCCTAGGACACATTAGATTCAACAAGTATTTATGGAATGAATGATTTATGTCTGTGCAATACTAGGCCTGCCCTGCCCAAGAACTGCTCACCCATCCCACCCCTCCTGCTGGCCCAAGCCCCACTTAGCCAAGCCCGGCATACCCAGCCGATGAGGCCAGGCCGAAGTTCGCAGAAATATTTGCAGTCAAAGGAACAGATGCGCGGATTGAGCTCCCGTCCCAGGAAAAAGTCGTAAACAGGATTGCCTGGAGAAGGAAGGACGATGGCGGTGCAAGCCAGCACCCCATCCACCGCCAACCCTACCCTACTGGAACCCCTCTCACCTGAGTTCCCCCCAGGTGCCAGGGCGGAGGCAGGGGCCAGTAGAGCCTTCAGGTACAGAAGGAGGCTGAAGATGAAGGCGGTGAGGGTGGCCACAAACGCCAAGGGCAGGAGCATTTCCGTGAGCATTCCCAGGGGCAGCCCAACTGACACTCCCAGGCCCACCAACAGGGCTGTCAGCACCAGGGCCTGGAAGCCTGAACCCCCAGCATAGGGTGAGTCCTGGGGACTGTGCCCTTTCACCTCCACCCCCACCCCCACACACGCACACGCACGCGCGCGCCAGGTGGTCACAGACCCCGCTAGACCTGAGGCTCCACCCCACCCGTGCAACTCCCGCGAAAGGGCCCAGTCCCAGGCACCGTTAATGGGGTAGCGCAGGCGACTCTTGTCCTTCAATTCCTGGCCCTCAGCCATCTGCAGGCACAAAGGGGGCTCTGATGAGGGCTGAGGGTGCCTTTCTTCTCACCGAGCCCTACCCTCCTCTCTCCTCCCCCGCGCGTCCGAGAGCCGAGTCCACACCTTGCGCGCCGGCAGTAGGTAGAAGGCCGCCTGCAGGCCGAGCCAGGTGAGCCACAGCAGCAGCGCCCCGGGGCTCCACAGCGCCTCGAGTCCCGGCAGGTACGGGGGGAGGCCCAGGAGGCGCGCCGGCCCGGAGCGAGCCACCAAGAGCAGGTGGAACATGGTGGCAGGGAGCAGCAGCATCAGCGCCGCAGCGCCTGGCGAAGGGAGCGATCGTGTCGGGCGTCCGCGCCCCAACTCTCCCCCGACCCCCACAGGCGCCCGGTCGTCTCCAGGGCCCCCTCAACATTCCCATCGTCCTGTTCCATATCCTGTCCTCAGCCTTCAGCTCCTTTCCCTAACTTCCATTTTGGTCCCCGCTTCCAGGCTCCCTCAAAGACCCTCCTCCTGCTCCCCGGACTCTGTCCAGTCCTCCACTCCACAAATCCCCCGCTCTGTAGCCCCCAGAACTGGATCCTCCTCAGCTCCTTCTCCGCACTCTCAAACCCCCAGATCTCTCTGCCTCCGGACATCCCTCAGAGCCTTCAGATCTTGCCCTATCCCTGGTCGTAGCTCAGCCCCTCCAGTTTTTCCTAGAGGAGCTTCTGGCCCCAGGTTCCCCCTTTTCTGCCCCATTACCCAGGGGTCCTCCGAATTCCAGCGGGGCCCGGGAGCCCTGAGGGGCCATGGTCTCCGCTCCGCCGGGAGGTGGGGCTCACAAAAATCCGTCAAGGAAACACACCCCACCCCATCCCCCAGGAGATGCGCTTGGTGACGAAAGGAATGCAGGCCCGCAGCGCCCGCACCTGTCTGGGTGAGCTAGACACAGAAAGCGCTGGTCCCTAGGTCTTTAAATGGATCCGCCCCCGGTCCATGGGCCCAGCAGATCAGCCAATCGGCTCTGGGGGCGTGCCTGACGCGAGCACCTCGGAGGCCGAGTCTTAAGCCTCAGCCTCACAACCCCACCCCCTCGAGTCCCGCCCCTACAAGCGAGAGGGAGGAGACAGCACATATTTATTAGGCCGGACTAGAGGCCAAAGTGGAAGAGCCTCGCGGGCAGGAGGCCAGGGGATGAGAGGGTTGGGGAGGCTGGCATGCCCGTACATGACAATGGCTGGGCCTAGCCTCGCTCGCAGATGACCTCAACGACACTGGGTTCCATGGGCACTGGATCCGGGCATCGCAGGGCAGCTGAGGCCACCACTTCGTCCAGCAGGAGGTGCACAAGCTCCTCGTCGGCCACGAAGCGCCACAGGTAGAGCTGCAGGAAGTGGCAATCCACCTGCACCTGCTGCAGCCCAAAGCGCCCAAAGGTGCGAAGCCGCACACACTCCAGCAGCGTCTTCAGGCTGATCTTGATGATGCCCGTCAGCACCGACACCTGTAGGAAGAGACACAAGGATGCAGCTCCACGACAGCAGGTGTTGGGGAAGTGCACCCACATTCTGGGCAGGGGCCAGGGAGACAGTAACATGCCAGTAGCTGTGATGGCTGGAAAGCCCCAGGGAATGAGGGAGGGAGGGATACAAGATTAGCCCCATGATTGGAGGGCAACAGACAGGGAACCCCCAGCAATCATAGGCAGAGATGGGGTCAGCACTGACGGGGGTGGGAGGGGTGGGGGTG